CCATTAAAGACGAGGTAGATTATGAATGTGATGATGCTTGAATTCTAGTTTTCTTTTCTTTTTCTATCATGATATTAAAAGTGACATAAGAAAAGGGAAAAAATGCCCCAAATCATGTATAAATTAAAGCAAGACAAAATGAGATCTTCCTGTAGAAATACTGAAATGTTCTACAAAGAATAGTTTTGCTCAAAAATTTAACTATAGGTCAGTGTACAATTTCACCTGATACAGCAGATTAGAGCTTCTCAAACCTAGTGTGAAAAACGAATCAGCTGGGGATTGTTTTAAAAGAAAAACTATAGATGTTTGGGTCATCTCTTCAATATTCTAATTAAGAAGTTGTAATTCACAGAGCAGCAGGAATTTGAACTTCAACAAGAAATGAATACTTTTTAATGTACAAGTGATAAATCATTAGGATGGTTACACTTGCATTAAAAAAAAATAGAAGAGGAGAAAAGAAAATAGCTGAGTGTATTCCCAGTAGAAATTTCAAGTTGGGTTTTGTAAAATTCTGTGTGTATGCGCGCTGTATTGTAATATCATATGTATTTCTTACTGAGTTCGTTAAAAAACAAAAAAAGGAGAGAAAAACACTGCTCTAAGTTAGGTGTTCACAAAGCATGATCTCTGGGCCAAATCTGGCCTATAGTCTGTCTGTGTAAATAAAGTTTTATTAGTGCTCCACCACACTCATTCCTTATGAATGATCTGAGGCTGCTTTCATGCTACAACATTGGGCAGAAGTAAGTTGTTACAATACAGACCTATGGCAAAGTCTAAATTATTTGTTTTTTTGGCCCTTTAAAAAGTTTGCTTCAAAGCAGGGACACCTGCCCAGCATCATTTAAACCAGAGGTTAGCACACTTTGAAACACTATCCTACTTGCCAAAACTTAAAATGCAAAAACTATAGCACACAACAAAATCCAAGAACTTAGTTTTTTCATTGGATAATAATTCTGTATGTACTTTTAAAAAATCTGACAGGGTAAATATAATTTGATGTATTAAAAAATACTAGATACTGGCTCGGTGCCTGTGGCTCAAGCAGCTAAGGTGCCAGCTACATACACCTGAGCTGGTGGGTTTGAATCCAGCCCAGGGCCTGCCAAACAACAATGATGACTACAACCAAAAAATAGCTGGGCGGGTGCCTGTAGTCCCAGCTACTTGGGAGGTGGAGGCAGGAGAATTGCTTGAGCCCAGGAGTTGGAGGTTGCTGTGAGCTGTGATGCCACAGCCTTCCCAGGGTGACAGCTTGAGCTTTTTGAGCTCTGTCTCAAAAAAAAAAAAATACTAGATACTGACACATAAGATTCTGAATATTTATCTTTTAATGATGCAGGGAAATTTTTTTCCAGTCAATCCTGTTTATTTTTCCTTCTGGGAAATCAGATTGCCACCTTGTAACTTTTAGAATTCACTCTGTACTTATCACAGAAATATTTTGTCTGTTAGAATCTCCTTTTAGTGGGGACGCAGGCCTGTTTATATCATTTTATTTGCTGTTTATTATACCTCACATACTCTTTTAAATGCAGCCTTATTTTGTTTTAAATGCATTTTAAACACTTTAATATATATGCTTTCATATGTCTGTAGGAAACACACCCTAAACTGCTATATCCAAACATAGCAAACATTGAGTTAATCCTCAGTTAACAACAAGCCTATATTCAGCATCTAAGGTCATCGAAAGCCTGAGCATTTGGTCCAAATTAATTCCCGAAATTTTGACGATTTAGCATATGTAAAAGGCAGTGAGGAAAAGGCACCCTTTTACTAGGTAGCTGTGGCCTTCAGTAGTCTACCACAGATCTATGTCTGAACAGTAAATGCATGCGCATACCTAAACCGGAATTGGCCATCAACTTTTTGTGTATTGACATGAAACTTATCCCCTCCCACTGAAAAAGTAAGAAAAGGATACTCAAGGCTTGACACTCTCCAATCTATCCACTTATAAAAGGCTGTCAAACTATGTGTGTTTCTGAGAGTAGCAATCGCCAGTGGTTACTAATGCACAACACCACCGCCTGTCCGGCAACCTCCTGAATTGGAGGAGTTGTGGTGAGTTTGTTTACACCAGGTTAAATAGCTTCATGATTGGGATCAGAGACCAATGGGGACAAAGTAAGTAGGTTGATGGAATGTGCCTTTGTTGGCCTCCATAATTCCTCCAGGTTCTTTGTTTACTTCTAAGGTGTTTGTCAGAAGGCCCACTATCCTTTTCTTGACTCAGTGCCCTTGGCTGCCACCACCACTCTGGGCTGCAGGGCCCCAAGCTCCACAAGGCTACGCTTGCCCTCCCTGCCGGGCACCTGAGATTTCCAGGGTATTGGCGCTCACACCTTTCCTAATAGAAACATACCTCCGACATGATATCCTTTGGCCAGGGACTCAGACCAATGTATGAGAAGGAACTATACAGAAGATTAATGAAGCAAAAAGTTGGTTCTCTGAAAAGATAAACAAAATTGAGAAGCCTCTTGCTAGATTGACCAGAAACAGAAAATAAAGGTCTCTAATCTCAATTAAAAGTGAAAAAGGAGAAATCACAACCAATATCGTGGAAATACAAAACTTTTATCTCAGAATACTATAAAAATCTCTATGCTTATAAACCTGAAAACAAGGAGGAAATGGACAAATTCTTGGAAACACACAACCTCCCTAGAGGAGGAGGAAATTGCATGGAAATTGAAGAGCAATAAAAAAACTTCCAACAAAAAAGAACATGTACCTGTACTACTGAAATTATTCTATAAGAAGGAAGGAATCCTCCGCAATTCAGTCTATGAAGCCAATAGCACAGTGATATCAAAGCCAGGAAAGGATGCAGCTGAAAAAGAAAACTATAGACCAATATATCTTATGAATATAGCCACAAAAATTCTCAGTAAAATTGTAGCAAACTGAAGTCAGCTGCACATCATAAAATAATTCATCACAACCAAGTGGGCTTCATCTCAGAGATGCAAGGATGGTTCAACATACACATATCTATAAGTGAAATTCACCACATAAACAGATGCAAAAACGAAAACCACATGATTCCTCCAATAGATACAGAAAAAGCATTTGACAAAATTC